CACTCCTACAAGAATATTACTTATATAGAAATATTAGGACTAATTAATATTAGCCTATTAGTTATATGTTGGATCTTACTTTATCTTCCACATCTCTTAGCCTTTCTTTTATATAGTCTTTTTATCTGTCTGTGCTGCATTCAGAGAAATTTCCTCAGATCTGTCTTCTAGATTACTTATTCTTTCTTCAGCTAATTTTGTTTAAGCCATCCTTTGAATCTTTCATTTCAATGACTATGTTTTTGTTTCCATTAGTTCTTCTTGATTCTTCATAAAAGCCACCAGTTTTTTAATTCCTTGTTCTTTTCTCATATTTTCAATTTATTATTTTACAGTTTAATGATTTCAAACATCCTTACTTTTTAGTTTTATTTGATAATTGTATTATTTTATGTTCTTGATTGATTATTGCAGCTGTTTTTTGAGTTTGCGTAGTAGGTTGCCTTCTGGGTTATATTTTTTACTGAGCTATTTTAAAGGGACTTGCTTGTTTTTTCCTGGAAAACACTTTGTGAGGGGTAGGATTACTCCTCAAAATGGTTTCTTTTGCTTCTGGCAGAAGTTTCAAGGGTATCACTTATTCAGGTACATTTTTTTTGTTAACTTTTTGGATTAGGGTTTCATAGACCTTTCTGGTAGTATAAACTTGAACTCCAAGCTAATATGAATTAGCCTGTATTGAGTTTGAGTATTGAATACCCAGAGTATTGAGTTTTTCATAAAAGCCGTTTTACATCCCTATTTCCAGAGATCATGCAGGGAAGAAAGTTTCCTTGTTCATTGGTCAGTTTTTTTCTAATGTACTCTTTCATTGAGGAATGTATCCTATCTAGGCCTAGGCTTTTATCCAGAACACTCACTTACAATTCCACCTCATCTGGGCTCAAGACGTCACTTATATCCCCAAATTAAAACCCAAACCCTTAAATTACTGAGACTGAGAACCTCCCACAGCAGTTCCAGCATCACTCACAGGCCTGTTAGCTCTTACTTTTAGTCTCTCTGTTTTTGCATCTGAGAATTTTCTCTTCCTCCTTGCAAACTTAGCTATGCATTTAAAACTATTGATGTATTTTAGTCAGCATATCAGAATGTCTGAGGGTATTTAAAGTGTGTTGTTGGAGGTTGGGAAATATGTGGTCAGGTTATCCTTGACTGCCATATTGCCAGAACCAGACGTCCGTATATTACTTATTATTTTTGGGTGTTGGTATTGGGGGAATCCTTTATTACAAAACAAAAATTTACCTTCTCTACCATAAGAAAATACAGCTTGCAAAATAGGGTCATATTAAACTGCTCTGCTTCTGTATGTAATTGATAGTAGAAAGAAATTTATTTCTGAGATAATTTTTCAATATAGTGAACTTGAATGTTTCATTTGCTCCTCTTATAAATCACAGGAGGGGATGGGTGTCCGCCTTCATTGGGAGTTAATAACAGGTAGATATCCTAAAACATATTCACATTTGTAAAGGAAGACTTGTTAGAAGGCCAAAGTGCACTGCTTTTTAATCCTACATGAATTTTATGGGGTTTTAACTATATGCAGCTCTTTGTAAGACTGTTCAAGCAACAAGGAAGGACCCTCAACTCTAAGTGTATGTAACTCTAATGGAGGGATTTGTACATTTTTCTAGGCAAAAGAGATGGCAATATATGTAAGAAGAAAAATTTTGGAAAAGATTGTAGAGTTGTAAACAATTTCTAGATGTGACCCATTTATTGATTCTCATCTTTATGTTATATTCTTTATTGGATTACTTAGAATTTTCCTCATATAAACTATTTACTTCCTTCTTAAAACTTCATGCACTGTCTTTCTGTCTCTGTGAGTAGTACTCATTTTTCCAAGCAGTGAGTCTTTATTCTTCTCAGCCCTCCTCATCACACCTACAGTCATGACTGAATCTGGCTACACTTTACTGCGTATTCCAAATAACCGGGGAATGAGAATGGCTGCATTACATGCAGAGACTTGTAGAGCTTAATTATCTGTGCCACATTGGACACATTCTTTAAGTATTTGTAGGATATCGTTTCTTCCTTGGCAAAGCAAGAACATTGGACTAAAGAGTTTCAGGGTCTCTTCTAGTTCTCCAAACTAGGAATCATTATAAATAAGTGAGAGAAAGTTCGGTTTGCCTACTAAATTACAAATATTTTCATATTATATAATTTGTATTTGGAAAAAGCCTTGTACAGTTTTGAGGGAGGTAGTCAAAAATTCTGAAAATATTCCCTTTAATTTCACCTGATTTTCTCCTTATCAATCCATCAAGTTATTTCCTGGGCTTTTTGTGTTTGAACCATTCATTGATTCACTCAGTAAATACTTATTGTGCGTCTGCTTTTTGCCTGGCACTATGCTACTTGTGATGCCATGTTGAACATGATACGCAATTACTGCTTTCATGGAGCTTACAGTCTAATGGAGGACAGACAAGAGCAATGTGCTACGATAAGTTACGTGATGGGGAAATATACTGTGGTATTGCCATGTGAACACAAGAGGGCAAACACTGACCTCAAACTTGGAAGGGTTGGAAACTTCCTGGAGGAACTGCCATTTAACAAAGAGCTGAAATGGGAGGTTAAGAAAGAGATGGGGAAAGGAGGCATGGAGGCAAGAGAGAATAATTCTGGGAGCTGAGAGAGGTATACTGTTCCCAGTGTTCTGTGACAGAGAAGAGGGACACTAGTTCCCTCTTCCGAAATATAAGCTAGGTAAATAGGGCATTCTATGCCATGTTAAGGAGTTTGACTTTATTCTAATCCTAAAAGTAATGGGGAGCCATTTAAGGATTTTAAGTGATAAAATGTTACGTTCCTTTTCCATTTTAGAGTGATCAGGCAGGCTGCAGCATGGAGAATAAATTGAAGGAGAAAGATCAGTTATTAGGCTGGTACAGAAGTACAACATAATACAGCAGTGGTGGGGATATAGGGAAGTGGACAGATTTGAGAGTTATTAAGGAAGTAGAATTAGAAACACTTTATGATTAACTAGGTGTGGATTATGATGGAGGAAGAAGAATCCAGAATGCCTGTTTCCAGTTTAATTAACCGGGTGACTGGTGGTGTTATTTACCAAAGTAAGGAACACAGAAGAAGGAGTGGGTTTGGGGAGGAAAATGTCGAATTCAGTTTGGGCATCCAAATGTCTAGTAGGCAGTTGGATGCAAGGTTCTAAAGTTTAGGAAAAAGTTTAAAGCTGGAGTTACAGATTTCGGCTTCTGTAGTCTGCAGATGATCATCGAAGTCATGGGAGTAGATGAAATTTCTCAAGAAGAATAAGTGAAACAAGAATAGAACAAGGCCTCTATAGAACAGAACTTTGAAGAACAACAGTTAAGGGACAGGTAAATATGGAGCAGGTGAGAAAGTGATTAAGAAAAGTTAAGGAGAGGACAAAGTAATAATATCAGGTGGTCAAATGTCAAGGAGGGATTGAGATACTCATTGAATTGAGCAACAAGGGAGTAGATTATAACTTTGTTGAAAATAGTTGCAGTGAAATTATACATAAGCATTTTACAGTTTCTTTGATGAATGAGTGAAGATGACGTAGTAGAGAAAGTAACGTAGATAATTCTTTTTCATAAGAAGGGAAGAGAGAGATGTTAGCTGAAAAACAGTCTGAAGGTAGAGGAGGGTTTTTTTGTTGCTGTTGTTATCTGTTTTTTAGGTTTTTTTCAGCATTGGTTTTTAAATACTAGTGGGAAATAGAAGGGAGAAGATGAAAATCAAGGCAACAGAAGGGATAATCCATAGGGTCAGGTCCTTGATCTTGGGGTAGAGAATGGGACAGATAAGTGGAAGAAATACAATGTGTGAACTAGAAAGGTAGAAAAGTGGTCAGTCTAAATTGTCCGATTTCAAAGATGGAGCAATTCTGAATGATGGCAAGACAAGGTGTGAGAGTGAGTAGTGGTGGAGTGGAGTAGAGGTAAATGTCTGTTGAGAAGAGATGAAAACCATGATTGGTTAAGGTGCTGGATAGGTCTTACAAATGAGATTGCTCAAGTTGATGATAGGTTGGATGGACTGGTAAGAGAGAGAACGACCGGGAAGTGACTAGTGAAGTGGAGGTGAAAAATTCATGTGGCTTAATAGTGTGAGCTTCAAAAGGAGCACATTTTTATAAAAGGGTGTAGGAGTAAGGGTTTACAGACGATATTGGGGAGTGAGAAGGCCACCAACCTGACGTTCTGATGCTGCAGTATATGAGGTATACAAGAATGAACAGCTTCAGCTTGAGAAGTTGTTCTTAGGAGAGCTATGTTTCAATTAAGGCAAAGAAATGGAATGCCTATTCAATGAAGATATTAAGCATGTAGGGGAAGTTTGTTTACTACCTGCATGGATCTAGACTGAGACTGGTAGCAGAAACAAGATAATCTAAGACTTCTGGTAAGTTCCACAATAATCAGTATTCAAGAAACAATTTTGGTCCAGCCTCTGCCTAGCTAGCTATGAGACTATGTATACAGTATTTAAATGATCCTTGATTTAAAAATTCTCCAAGTTCAAACAAGTTGTGCTAACTCAAGAGATATCCGTTGAAAAATCCAACGTTTTTTTTACTGATAGTTTTCTTCTTTTAATGTTAAAATTCACGAAAAGGTTTGCAACAAAGTACAGATTCCTTATAAATATGCTGTATTGGTTTTTAAATTGAAAGATTTATCTTGGGTAAATTTTTAAGCCTTTGTGGTTAGTAATGTCAAATTTTATATTAAAGTCTCATATGTTTATGTTCACGTCTGTTTTTTAGACCTATTTTCATTTTTGTTACATTTTTATTTTTTATTTCTTGATTTTCCTGAGAAGCAGTATAGGTAGGTGATGGAGGATGGCAGTGATTGCACAGTTACTTACTTAAATAATGGTAGATTATATGGTAACATATTAGTAACATCACTTCTCACACCACTTTGTGGTGTGTGTAAAAGGAGCATAAGATTTTATGAGTGTTTTTATTTATGTTTGGTTTTCAGGGACCATGGCTAAACCTGCTGGGTCATTAGCCAGAAGCAGTAGCTTGTGTCGCTCTCGTCGCAGCGTTGTGCCGTCCTCGCCGCAGTCTCAGCGTGCTCAGCTTCCTCCACATGCTCCTCACCCGTCACACCCTCGGCATCCCCACCATCCCCAGCACACACAGCACTCGCTGCCTTCCCCTGATCCAGATATCCTTTCAGTGTCAAGTTGCCCTGCTCTTTATCGAAATGAAGAGGAGGAGGAGGCCATTTACTTCTCTGCTGAAAAGCAATGGTATTGGCAATGAATACACTACAATATATGTTGGGCTGGGTGGGTGTGAGGTGGGATGTGGGAGGTGGGAGTGGGGTAGGTAGGAGTGGTGCATTGTATGAGTTTTCTATTGCTGCATAACAAGTTACCACAAACTTAGTGGCTTCAAACAACACGCATTTATTAGCTCTCAGTTCTGTATGCCAAGGTCCAAGCACGGGGTGGCTGCTCAGGGTCTCACAAGGCTAAAATCAAGGTATTGGCTGGGCATTTTTCTCATTTGGAGCTTAGGAGCCTCTTCAAAGCTCTCTTGGTTGTGGCAGAATTCAATTCCATGTGGTTATAGCCCTGAGGTCTGGTTTCTGTGCTTGCTTTCAGCCAGGGGCTGCTCTCAGTTCCTAGAGGCTGCCTCCTGTTGCATGCTATATGTGGCCTCCATCTTCAAAGCCAGCAACAGAGAATATCCCTTCTGTCAAATCCCACCTTTGCTTTGAATCTCTGACTTCCTCTATTTCTGATCTCTAGACCCAAATTTAAAAGGCTCACCTGGATACTAATCTCTCTATATTAAGATCATCTGGTTTGGGGCCTTAATTACATCTGCAGAATCCCTTCATAGCAGCACCTATATTAATGTTTGATTGAATAACTAAGTAGGAGAAGATGTGTGTAAACCAGGGTTGGGAATTTGAGGACCATCTTAGATCTGCCCACCACAGACAAAGGTAGATATTTTGACATATAACTGCTTAGAGGCCATTGCACACAGTTGACTCAAGTCTCAGAACATAAACCTGTCTTATGAACAGTTTTATATGTAAAATATAAAGGTATGAGTTTAAATATACTTGAGCACAAAGAAATATTAAATATGACTGAATTTTTAAAATATTTGTTGCCACTTAATGATTTAGTCTGTTATGTGCTAGTACTTGCTAGTAACAAGTATCAGATGCCAAAGGTTTAAGAAAAGGTCAGGAACTTAGAGGAGGAAATTATGTTCATAACAATTCTTGCTATAAAATGGGTATAGCAGCAGTGTATGCTGGTCAAGCTTAAGGACCCCAGTGCTCCATGAGACCTGTTGCTCTTGAGGATCTGTCTTTCTAAACCACATTCCTCTTATGGAGCAGTATGATATTAAGTGACAGAAAAACTGGTGTTAATTTCTGATTAACTGTCTTACTGTCCTCATATGAGAAATAAAACCAAAGGGAATGGGCTGGATGTTTTCCATGAATGATCCCACATAGCTCTCTATCATGTGATTCTTCAGTTGACATCATCATGAAATAATCATTTTTCTTACATAATTGTCTCATCTACTAGTGAAAGTAAATTTTATCATTAGCAAGTGAGCATTATAGCATATTCTTAAGGAGACAGTCCAGGTTGTGTATCCTCATTGCCCCTGGAGAATTTGGTGCAGCTTTGCTTGGTCAGCACTGTGTGACTAGTTTTTTGTATAACTTTTGCAACATAACTACAATCACCAGCAAGAGGATGCTACTGACAGAATCATAGTCAGTAGCAAGACGGCTCTACTCACAAAACTAATTTTGTGTGGCTTGTGGACATTAGTAGGAAAACTCTAGAGCTCTGCTGCCCAGTAGACTTTTTTGTATTGATGGGAGTGTTCAGTCCTCATTTCAAATAGCAATGTCAAAAATTCACAGGTAGCTCATAAATATGAGAATTTGGATTCAGAAAATTTTCCTTCTCTCCATTTTCATTGTCTTAAGTGTTGAACCACCAGAATTCTTACGAAATAGTAATAACTACCTTTACTATTTACTGATCTTTTATATTCTATGCATTATGCACATATACATTCATTTAAACCTCTCCTTGAGTTAAGTGTTGTCATACATGCATTAAACTTATATGAATTCAACTACACGTCACTGGGGAAAAAAGGGAAATAGAAAAATAACATAAATGGTACACATAGTTAAGATCAACATTCCAAAGAATACATGCTCTAGAAAAACTGGGAAATTTAAAGGACTAAACCCACACTACAAATCTGAGTAGTTGTGCAGAAGAAGCAACACTTCAGATTGTTACTTTTTTTGGAATTAGGATGTTAGAACTAGAAGTAATGTTAGAGATGAATCAAATTCTCTTACAGATAGGAAAATTGAGACCTGTTTAAGTGATTTGCCCAAGGTTGTACAGCTGGTTAATGGCAGGACCAGGACAGGAATCTAGGTCTCCTAATTTAGATCAGTATTCTTTTCACACATCATTGAGATTTTAGAGACTAGTTTTTGAAATATTTTTAACCTAGCTTAGAATTTCACATACAAAGCAGCCAATTCACATGGCAGAATAGAAAGTAAATTCATAAAATTGTAACTAAATCAGCTTCTGGCTCTGGAAGCTGGACAGCCTCAGGGAACAGTTATATGTATGCTGTTCGATGAATGGACATCCACCCCAACAAGAAGCCTAGCAAAAAAGTCCCTACCAGTGATGGATTTCTGAGCCATTTCTTCCACTCTGAACTGCCTCTTGCCGTCTGTTAGCACTACGCGTTATCAAGTTGTAAAAGCACTGGAAAATTGTGCAGTACGTGTAACTGTATTATATGAAAGCTTTATTTAAGTCTTTATTTGCCCAGGGGATTTTGTACCTTCTGAGAGCTTGTAGTGTAATAAAGACAGTCTTCACATAGATGTGTGAGTAAAGTACATAGAAATGACTAAATATTTTCAGCCATCCAATATATACCTAAAATATTGTATTAACACAAAATATGTCAAAATTAATAAACGTGCATATCATAACATGAATGATGATAGTAATCATAGCTCATCCAAGGTGAGAGATCATTCAGTTCATTCATTCTATAAATATAAATTTAGTCCTTGCTGTGTGCCGTGCACTTGCTGATAACTTGAGCTGCCAAGGTCCTGGCCTAGGTCTAGCTAGTGGATTATGATCATATGTGTTCTTGCCTTTCTATTCTGTCTTCAGCTCTCTTCCTTCTCCCACCTTATTTCTTTTGCTAATTACTTTTTACCTTGACTCTACTTTTCATTTCTTAATCATTCCTTTCATAGAGTGAACAATATTTATGTAAGGCATGGTGCATACAAAAATGAGTAAGACAGGATCCCTAGTCTTCAAGATCTCATTTCTTTCCTTCTCTCTCCGTCGCCTTCCTCCCTCCCCTCCTCCTCTCTCTCCCTTCCATTTTTTCTTTCATCACATATTTATTAAATACCCACTGTGAGCTTGCCACTATTCCAGTGCAGAGAATACAGAAGTTAAGACTCCCTGGCCTCATTAAGTTTCTTTTCTTCTGGGGAAACTGAATGTAAATAAGTTAATGTGAAATATTTTATGTAGTGATGCGTTTTGGGATGCTAAACAAAGGCAGGTAAAAAGGAAAGAGAAGGCTGTTTTAGATATGGTGGATAGGAAAAGCATCTCTGGAGAGATAGCATTTGAGCAGTGACCCCAATGACATGGAGAAGTAAGCCATGTAGAGATGGAGGGGAAGGAAATGTGAGGTGGAGGAAACAACATGTGCGGAAGCCCTGAGGGAGTCACAAGATTGGCATGTGGGAGGAACAAGGAGGAGGCCATGGTGGAATGAAGCGGAAATGGTAGGGCATGCAGCTGAGGGGGTAGTCGTGGGCCTGATCGTACAGGACTTCATGGACTTGGCAAGGACTTTGGATTTTAGCCTGGGTGTGAGAGGAAGCACTGGAAAGTTTTGAGCAAGAGAATGATGTGCTCTGATTGCGTTTTTACAAACCACTTTAATGGCTGTGTAGAGAAGTAACTAAGGAGAATGGAAGCAGGGAGACCAATTAGGTGACTTCGTGGCGGTTCAGGAAGAGGGATGGTAGCAGTGGGAGAGTGAGAAGTGGTGGATTTGAGGTATATTTTGAGGGAGTGGCCAAGAGCATTTACTGTATGTTGGCTTTGGGGTTGTGAACTTTGTTTTTCCACTCCCCCTTATTTCTCTTCTCTTTCCACTATGGAGAAAGAGGGGAAAATCATAAAGGAATAAACCTGTGAGAATTTATTGAATGTTTCCTTTTTAAAAAATAGCATTATCAGGGCTGGCCCGGTGGCATAGTGGTTAAGTTCACGCCCTCCGCTTTGGCGGTCCGGAGTTCACAGGTTCGGATCCTGGGTGTGGACCTATGCACTGCTTGTCAAGCTATGCTGTGGCAGTGTCCCATATAAAGTAGAGGAAGATGGGCATGGATGTTAGCCCAGGACCAGTCTTCCTCAGCAAAAAGAGGAGGATTGGCAATGGATGTTAGCTCAGGACTAATCTTCCTCACTAAAAAAATAAATAAATAAAAATAGCATTATCTCATTGACTTTCATGTCCCATCCATGCCCCCACCCTGTTGTACCTCAATTCCCTTCCTCCTTTTTTTAAACTTGGGAGAACTTAACATTTTAGCTTAGCACATTCCTTTCTTTCTTCCTTAGGAAGTTATATTTCATCAATTTAATGACTGAAAAATTAAGTAAAGGGAGAGGTAGTGACTAAAAGGCATCTTTGTGATTTAGAAAGAAAATGTCAACTGTGTGATTTAGAAAGAAAATTACTCAGTATTGAAACAAAACATAAAAGTAGCTGAAATGATAAGAAAAAATTGTAAAATTTAAACATTTCTATTTCTCTGACAGTTGAAGGTATAAGTTATAATATTTCTCAGATTGGAAGCTTTCATTATTATAGTTTCTGTTAAAAATTAAACATTGAGTTTATATTATTTAAAGTAGTAACTTTCTAATTTTGTTGAAATGTATATAGAATTTCAGCATTTCTCCCTTTTACGTTTTGTTTTGATAGATTAAACAATGGAAATTGTTTTAGTTAGAATGTCTGCTGATACTCTTAAGAACATACTGATTTTAAATTTTACCTTTGCCTCTATCTCATCCAGGGAAGTGGCAGACACAGCTTCAGAATGTGACTCCTTAAATTCTTCCATTGGAAGGAAACAGTCTCCTCCTTCAAGCCTTGAGATATACCAAACATTGTCCCCTCGAAAGATATCAAGAGATGAACTGTCTCTAGAAGATTCATCCAGGGGAGATTCACCCATAACTGTAGATATCTCTCGGGGTTCTCCTGATTGTGTAGGTCTGACGGAAACTAAGAGTATGATCTTTAGTCCTGCAAGCAAAGTGTACAATGGCATCTTGGAGAAATCCTGTAGCATGAACCAGCTTTCTAGTGGGATCCCGCTGCCTAAACCTCGCCACACATCGTGTTCCTCAGCTGGCAACGACAGTAAACCAGTTCAGGAGGTCCCAAATGTTCCCAGGATAAGCAGCATCCCACATGACCTTTGTCATAATGGAGAGAAAAGCAAAAAGCCATCAAAAATTAAAAGCCTTTTTAAGAAGAAATCTAAGTGAACTGGCTGACTTGGTGAAATTCCATTTGAGTGGCATCTTTAAACTTTTATCTCCCACCCTCCACTCCCCCTTTTTGTTTTAATTTTAGGAATGTAACTCTATTGGGGCTTTCCAGACTGGATGCCATAGTGGAATGTCCTTAAGGGCAACTGTCTACTGTCTGCTTATTTAAATGACTATATAATCAATTTGTCAAGCCAGTTATTACTGAAAAATCATTGAGATGAGACAGTTTACAGTCATTTCTGCCTATTTATTTCTGCTTTGTTATTAGTGATGTATATACAACGTTTTGTTGAAAGCCACTATGGACTTACAAGCTTTAATGGACTAGTAAGCCAGCATGGGCTTGCAAAAATTTCTTGTTTACCGGAGCATCTTCTTATCTTTCCACAGCTATTTACGTCCTGGACTGAATAACTTAAAAGAAGTAAAACTAATTGCACTACTGTTTTCCAGACTGGAAAAAAAAGTCTCTGCAAGTGAAAGAAACTGTCTAGGGTTTATAAAATGACTACGGATAGGGGACTGTTTTCACTTTTAGATCAAAATGGGTTTTTAAGTAGAACCTAGGGTTTCTAATTGACTTGATTTCTGGAAATGAAAACCCACGCTTTTATATGGGAAGCTTCTTTAAATGCATTTAATATTATAAAGTTTCAAGTCCTGCTGTAAAGATCATGTTGTTTTGTTTTTCCCAGGGCTTTCACTGTGATTTACTGCATTGCAGGCTGTATGATAAAATATAAATAATTTGAAGAGAAAAGGCTCTTGATTCCTTATGCAAGTGGAAGAGTTAAAACTTGGTTGAAGGACTTAAAACATTCACAAGCTTAAACTGAGGTGGGGGGCTGTGGGGATCCAGGCACTTGTTTACAGACTGAATAACTGCAAAGGATTTATGGTTTGTGAAGAATTTGTACTGTGGAAAAGATAATAAATCAGAGACATTATTGTGTGGGACTGTGCTGATTTTTGTTGATAACACTCCACTAAAAACACTATATGTTTTCTGAAGAGCTGTGTAAGCTGTATTGTTGCTTAATTGCAATATAGGGAATAGTGATGTTTTGAAAGCAAGTTGTCAACAAATTTCTTTCTATTTTATATTGTTTGTCATATTTTTATGTAGTTTGAAATGTTTAAATGTTCTAATATCAAGATTAACAAATATAAATTTATGGTGCATTTAGATTGTGTTGTATTAATTTGTAAACTTTGGGGTTCATTAAACTGATAGGTTATTACAAGGGTAGCTTTTACTGTGAAGATTGTCACTGAGCAACAAAGTACATTAACATCTGGGGAGTTTCTGCTTAAACTATTTCTTTTAAAAATTCCATCATAAATGCAATTTGGTTAATGCAATGTGGATGGATGTTTGGGTGAACAACTGATACATATTAGCTAGAAGGATTTTTCAGCATTATGGCTAAAATACATAATGTCCAGCCCAGTCCTGTTTAGATGAAAATGCTGATTGATAAACAAGAAGTTTATTTGAGATTTGCTCCAAGGAAATACTTTATTAAGAATATGAACACTTTCCTGTAAATTGTGATTGTTTATTCTTTTTAGTATTATTGTTAAAAACTGTTAAGGTCTTGAATGATATTTATATACACAGATATTGATATATTTAATAGTGCTGTAAGGGGAAAACTTGATTGAAACGAACGTGTTCTGGAGTAATTATAAGGTAAGATAACCTTGAAAGCTCAAAAGTTGGGAAACATAGGTTCTAAAGTTGTGTAGGACGGGGGAAAAATTATGCATAAAGAATTGAAAAGCGTTCTTGAAAGTTTCTTCGGAGTGAAGGAAATGCCTTATCTTCTTTCTTCTTCTTAGAACCAGACAGGAATTCTTCCCTTTGAAAAGTGCAAAAGGGATGAGAACTTTGTGGTTGGATGGGTAGAAAAGGTAAAAGCTGTGGGAGCCTGGAGGAAGATCGTGGGAGCTCTAGGGGCTCCCAGCAAGGCCCGCTGCTTGTTGAGGGTTAGAAGGGAATTCCAGATCAGAACCAGGTGGATGCTAGAACTTGTGGTTGGTGGGGGAGAGGCTGGCCTCAGTAGAGTGTGGGCCGTCTTATGTCAGGGAACACATCATTCGTGCTCAATTGCACACACACTCATTTATAGACAAGTTCAACCAAGGGATATTTACTGCTTTATGTTTCTTGTAATATTTGCTTTGCATTAGTACAATGCTCTGTATTTGTAAATTCAACAGAAAATAATTGAGTTTTGGAAAGCCATGATAATTTCTGTATTATATCATTTATACATGAAGAGTTGGGCATTAATATAAGTTTTAAAAATTACCTGTTTGTTACCTTATTTTAACCTTATAAAACTATCGTGTTTCCTTGATTTTAAAAGTAATTTCTTCCTTATTCTAAAAAACATGATAGAAAAGTATAAAGAAGAAAAACAACAGCAGGTAGGTCAAATTCTACTGCCCAAAATAATCGCTTTTATTTTTTTATTTATTTATTTTTTTGTGGGGAAGATCAGCCCTGAGCTGACATCCCTGCTAATCATCCTCTTTCTGCTGAGGAAGACTGGCCCTAAGCTAACATCTATTGCCGATCCTCCTCCTTTTTTTTTTTTTTTTTTTTCCACCAAAGCCCCAGTAGATAGTTGTATGTCATAGTTGCACATCCTTCTAGTTGCTGTATGTGGGATGTGGCCTCAGTATGGCCGGAGAAGCGGTGCGTTGGTGCGCGCCCAGGATCCGAACCCGGGCCGCCAGTAGCGGAGTGCGCACACTTAACTGCTAAGCCACGGGGCCGGCCCATAATCGCTTTTAATATTTTGGTATGTTTTCTGCTAGATCATTTTCTATATATTGATATATGTTTTACACAATTGAAACGATGCTATATATTTAGTTTTATGTCATGCTTTTTCACTTAATATAAGCTTTTCTCCAGCATCATTAAAAACTCTTCATAAACAACATTTTAATGACTATATAATATGCCATTGTATAGATTTACCATAATTTTTAAATCATTCTTTTACTATTAATCATTAAGCTGTTTCCAAATTTCTGATATGTGGAATAATAGCATTTAACCTTTATTGAGCACTCTTTTTGCCAGGCACTGTTCTAAACTCTAATATATATTCTCATTTTATCTTTACACAAACCTTGTAAGGCAGGTACTGTTTTTTGTGTTTTTGTTTTTTTTTGAGGAAGATCAGCCCTGAGCTAACATCCATGCCAATCTCCTTTTTGCTGAGGAAGACTGGCCCTGGGCTAACATCTGTGCCCGTTTTCCTCCACTCTATATGGGACGCCGCCACAGCATGGCCTGACAAGTGGTGCATTGGTGCACGCCCGGGATCCAAACCCAGGTCGCCAGCAGCAGAACGTACGCACTTAACTGCTAAGCCATGGGGCTGGCCCCTGTGTTGTGTTGTTTTTTTTTTTTAAATTACCAGTTTATTGATGAGGAAACTGAGCCCAGAAATTAATAGTTTGCTGAAGGTCACATAGCTGGTGAGTGGTAGAACCACGTTTTTAACTTCTAAGTCATACCACATAAATTCAAATTGACATTTTGATTCCTTACGATATATATTTTTTAGAAGTACATAGAAAAGCATAAAGATATTTTTAGTTTATATGTATGTGTATGTATACACTCACGTAGTCTCACATACATACCTTGAGCATAACTTCTTTCAAGCTTCTTTATCCATTTAGCTGTGTTTGTCTCCCCCCAACACTTGAGTGTGTGAGTGCCCTTTTACTTCACTCCATCTTTTCTGAATTATCATTTGGTTAAAACTTTGCTAATTTAATAGGTAAATAATGTCTAGTATAGTTGGAAAGTTTTTTCATGTGATGTATTTTTCATATCAGTGAATTGTCTGTTCATGTCTTTTGCCCATCAAGTTCTTGGGATCCGAGTGTTTTTCTAAACCTTTTACACAGTCCTTCAAATGTAGCTATTCTTGTATTCTTCATTTGCCAACTAAAACTGATTTTTTAAAATCATATATGTATTTTTCATGCTTATTTTAAAAAGTAAGTGAAAGAAAAACCTAGATTTAAGTTTTAGTCATATTGATCTCCTATTTTTAGGTCCTGAATGAGAGAGTAGATTTTCCCCCAAAAGTGACAGATAAGAAACAGTAGAGAATTTGCTTAATGCATTAAACAAGTATTTAATAGCCTGCCATGTACCGAGCATGATGATAAACTCTGGAGGTATAGAGACTAATGTGACAGGCACCTGCCCTAAGGGAGCTCGGTGTCTAATAGGGGAGACAGATCAAACAAAGATCCTTGTAATAAGGGCAATGATAAAAAGGTAAACGTTGGGGGGATGGGAGCTAATGGGGAGAGGGATTATGTAGTTCAAAAGTGTATTAAATCATAGATTATTTAATTTAATGGTGCTAATTTGCGAAGGACGTGGAGAGATTTGCAATGGCTGAAACATACAGGTCCAAGGGCAAGTTAGTTTTAGGGCTTCTACTAACTAGTAATCTAGTTCCACCAAATGACCTTGCAGTTACTGAGTTCCAGCAAAACACTTTTTAATCTCTGTGAGGGTGCTCATTTTGGGGTAAGTTGTTTACCAGAGAGAAACACAGCATTTGAGCAATCCTGATAAACCGTGATAGTGCTGATAACAAGACTGCTTCCTTCCCCACATCCCAGCTCTAAAACAGGGTAGTCTTTGTTTTGAAAGACACTCGTTTAGATTTACCGAGGTAGGCCCGATCCTATCTTGAATCAATTGGTGTCAAGTGGGCTTCAGGCCACGTTTCAGGATTTTACCTCATTCCTGTGTTGCGCTTTCTTGAGGTTATCTACAGGTCTCTGCTGTGGCCCTCAGAGGGTCCTCTTCATGGCAATGTTTGTTGTAGGCCCAGACAGATCATTGTAGGGAGGCCTCGGTACAGATCTTGATTTCTTGTCAATGTGAAGGAATTGAGACAGAATGCCCAGGATCCTTTCCTGACTACAGAGTTTTGACTGCCAGATTCTCCATGATGCTGATGTTCCAGCTCTGCTGGGTCTCTTGCAGTGTCTTCGTTAGCCTCCAGCAGGGACAGAGAGTGAGCCATGAGCTCAAGGTAAGGCAGGCAGTTCACCTCCACCTCGTGAGAGTAGCTCTGCACGCATGTCCCAGGGAGGCCCAGATGCTCATCATTCCAGATCTCCAGGCCTTAAGGCAAGGGCAGAGCTGCTTCTTCCCCTTCCCACATCCTTCCTGGTTCACCCCGGCAGGTTCTACTTCCCTGTGAAAGTAAGACTCGAAGAAACCTTAGCTGGGTCAGAATTGTTCATTTCTTGCTTCAGATTGTCACATTTTAGTTTCAAATAGTTGTGTTACATAGCAGCCATCCCAGTGTTGCAGTTCTGTTAAGAATATCTTCTGATTCTTTTTTTTTTTTTTTATAATTTTATTTATTTATTTTTTCCCCCAAAGCCCCAGTAGATAGTTGTATGTCTTAGCTGCACATCCTTCTAGTTGCTGTACGTGGGACATGGCCTCAGCATGGCCGGAGAAGCGGTGCGTCGGTGCGCGCCCGGGATCCGAACCCGGGCCGCCAGCAGCAGAGCGCGCGCACTTAACCGCTAAGTCACGGGGCCAGCCCTTCTGATTCTTTCTTAACAGATTATGATAAACCACCTGTTTACTTGAAGCATTTTAGTTCTAAAATATCCACGTGGGCTAATTTCCTGTGTGTGAGAATGTTAACTGCTGAAATACTCATAGACCTCTTGTCCCCGGGATGTGATGGCACCAGATTGTAGGGAGATTGGAGGACACCACCACTTAGGAACTGGAAAAGGTTTCTAAAATAAGAATGTGGCTTTTTTGTTTTGTTTTTGAAATACCAGAATCAGGATGTACATCTGTAGCCAAAAAGTACAATGACAAGAAATTAAAAGGGGGTTAGACGGGGGGACAAAATGAAGCCTGGGTGCAACAGT